GGGGCAAAGATAAAAAAGATGAATATGCTAAGATATTCACTTGTCCAGTGGGTACTTTGCCTATGAAATTTTTAGGGTTGCCAGTTGATAAGAACAGGATTAGAAACAAACACTGGAAACCCCCAGAAACTAAGATGGGGAAGAAATGTGAAACCTGGCAAGGGAGATTGCTTGCAAGTGTTGGGAGGGTCACACTAATCCAATCTTCTTTGACATGGATCCCTTATTTTATGATGTCCTTTTATGGTCTACCTGTTGGGGTTAACAAACGCATGGACTTCTATAGAGTCAGGTTGCTTTGGCAGGAAGATGATAAAAAAAAGAAATATCACCTGGTTAAATGGACTGATGTCTGTAGACCCAAAGACATGGGGGGGGGGCTAGGAATCCAAAATCTTGCCCATATAAACAAAGCTTTGTTATGTGAATGGTGGTGGAAAATTTATAACACAGAAGGTTTATGGCAGGAAATTATTCTAAAAAAATATCAGGGATCTAAAGCATTGGGTAACATTACAGTTAGACAAGGGGATTCCCAATTCTGGAGGGAGTTATTAAAACACAAAGATCATTTTACTTCCCTGTGCAAATTCCAGATTGGAAATGGGGGGAATACTATATTCTGGGAAGACTGGTGGATTGGATATGCACCTTTGTGCAGGAGTTTTCCTAGATTGTACAATGTATGCTTTGATAAACAGAAAACAATTAGAGAGATTTTTGCAAAAGAAATTGAAAACATGAGTTTTAGTAGGACTTTGACAGGGGACTCAAGAGAGCTGTGGGACCACATTAAAGAGGTGTGCAGCTGGTGATTTTGAGAGAGGAAAATGATAAGGTAAAATGGACGTTGACAAAAAATGGGATATATACTGTAAAATCTTATTATAGACATCTGATAGAAAATGGGATCAAATATCCACATCTATATATGTGGAAGATCAAGATGCCTCCGAGAGTCAAAGTCTTTATGTGGCTGACTCTTAGAAACAGTATCCTCACAAAAGATAATTTGCGCCGTAGAGGATGAAAGGGAGATGATAAATGTCCATTCTGTGGCCGTGTGGAAACTATAAATCACTTATTCATTTCTTGCTCTGTAGCTAGGTTGTTGTGGAATATCCTTAAATGTGCCTTTGATTTAACTGATATACCAGGCGACTTGGATCTGGTAATGAGAATATGGGCTAAAACCTTTGGAAAGGAAGAGAGAGGTTTAGTTATGGTAGGAATTTCTGGTATTTGTTGGACTTTATGGAAATTGAGAAATAGTGTGGTTTTTGATAATAACAGGATAATGATCCATGTATACCTATTAATCTGCTTCTTAAAAACTTACATGATTGGAATATTTTGCAGAAAACCCCCGCAAGAAGTGATATGATGGAAGCAGGAGTGAAGCGAGTAGGTGAAGTTGCTGAAGAGGTATTCAAAGCAATACATGGGTGGCGTCTGGAGACTAGAAGAATTATGGGATGACCAAAAAGCTTCAAGTTTCCTCGGATCTATGTTGCTGCGATGGATGCTGGGAGGCAGCATTTCCTGCGTTTTGCTTCACTCTGCTCTTTTGTATCTTGTTTTGCTCTCCATGTAGAGGGGACTGCTTGTAGTTTGTCTACTCAAGACTGTTTGATACTATGTGGTTTCTTAAACTTTGTAATGCTGGGGCTGGGACTTGCTTCAGAGCCCAGGCCTTTATTCTCTCTATGCGACACTGCCTTTGGGGGCTTTAGGTGGGGGAGGGATGGCTCCCCCTCCTCTCCATTGGTTTAGTGCGATGCCAGAAGGGAGTTTATTAGTAGTTTAGTTTGGTTCTGTTAGTTGTAAGACTGAATGATTTCTTTGATGAAAATCGGAGAGGGCACTCTCTTTTATCAAAAAAATGATAGCAACGAAATTGAAAAACCTGTTGTCTACCTTTACCAGTTTACAACTCAAGAGCATTAACAGATGGAGAGAATCATGTTTTATTGTTGCATTAAACTCAAGAGGATAATGCAATCTCAGCCGTGCCGTGGCCGTTGGACATGGAGTTCCCTGGGCAGGTAGCGACTTGGGCTCAGAACCAGATGTCGGCGTGCTATGTATGCGCGCCTCCAGGAAGAAGGTACGGACGTACGGTCGATCACATCCTGATGCATGCAGTGTCTCGCTTAGTCGCATCTACTCCCTCCGTTCCAAAATAGATGACTCAACTTTGTACTAAAGTTAGTATAAAGTTGAGTCATCTATTTTGGAACGGAGGGAGTAACTCGTACACCATTGTTGGATGAACGGCAGGGGTTTTGGATCAGCAGCGAGTGGGCAACGCGTTGGTGGGCAGTACATGCAGCTCATGCGTCGGCTATGAACGCGACGACGCTTGGCGTTGTCGCACTCGAGCTTCCCAAGGAAGAACACGTGGCCCTCCCCCTCCAGCTCCAGCCACGCCGCCCTCCCGCGCCACCCGCTCGCGGCCACGGCCTCGTAGTACGCGCGGTTCCGCGCCGCGAGCCCGTCCTCGAGCCCCGTGGTCACCAGCATCCTCGCGCACCCGAGCCTCTCCAGCGCCGGCGATGCCAGCGGGTTCATCCTCGGGTCGTCCGCGCCGCCCACCGCCGACCCCCGGCACGCGTAGGACCAGAGGAGCCCCGTGACCTTGGCCGCGGCCGGGGGCTCCCCCTCGATCGCCGCGTTCCCGCTGAACCACGGGTGCAGCAGTATCGCGCCCTCGATTCTTGGGCCGCCGTCCCTCACGAGCATCTCGTGCGCGATGTTGGCGCCGGCGCTGTCGCCCGCGACGAACAGGCGGGAGGCGTCGCCGTGGTCGGCGATCCATTTGTCCTGCGCCGAGGCCGCCCACAGGAGCGCGGCCCAGGAGTCGTCGTAGGCGGCGGGGAGCCGGTGCTCCGGGGCCAGGCGGTAGTCGACGGACACCGCGAGGACGCCGGCCGCCGCGGCGAGGGCGTTGAGGTACTTGTGGTACGTGGGGTCGCGGGCCGACCCGATGAGGAAGGCGCCGCCGTGGAAGTAGACGACGACCGGGAGCTTCGCGGAGGCGTCCTGGAGCTTGTTGGGAAGGTAGAGGCGCACGGAGAGGCCCGTGTCCGCGTCGAGGACGACGTCCTTGGAGGTGACGCCGGTGGCCTCGTCGACGCCGGCGGGCAGGATGGTGGGATCGTTGAGGCGGTCTATCTTCCCGCTCTTGTAGATGCGGAAGCTCCCCGCCGCCTCTAGCAGCACCTCGCCGGCACCAACTGGTTCCGGGGCAGTCACCGGAGGAGCCCCACTCGTGTCTGAGGTGGAACGGACTCTCGATCGCCACAGGCCCGGGCATCTTATTTGAGGCAAGAATGTGGTCGACAAGGAAGGCCGTTGGAGTTGGGGTAACCTTCTTGTCCGATCCAGTGGTAGCCGCCGGCAAGGTCGGGTGGCCGCCCAGCCAGTGCAGGTGGTGACTCCGCTCCTGATGGTGGTGGCCATGGAGGCCGAGTGTTCTTTTTGTCCGAGTGTTTGCTTAGGCGGCCTTGGTGTAGTAACAGGCTAACAGATAAGAGCCAGGTGTTGCTTAATGCTTAGGCCGGCTTGGATGCAGTAACAGTGCTAACAGATAAGATTTTGTGTGGTGGCAAAGGTCCGGCCGTCCAAGATCATCATCATGCGATTCAGAGATGAAGATCCTTGCTGTTGTTCTTCTTCTTCCTCTGTATTGATGCTGGAGGAAGATCCTGCTTTGCCCAGACGGATGGCCCGGCCGTGGTGCTGGACCGGTCGGAAGGCTCGAGTTCTCTTTCTTTTGGAAGGGACATTTTTTGCGGTACTCAAAGTCAAAGATGGCGACGGTTGTTGCAGGTGTGTTGGATTAATGTCCATGCCCTCTCAGTGCTGATGTCAAAAAAGGAAGAAGCAGCGTGACGACAATTGTTCCGTGGTCGAAGATGATGATCTATTTGTGCCTGGTTGCAGGTCTTTCTGCTGCAGGGGTCTTCTCTCAAGATTCAGGGATGATGACACAGGGTTCCGAAGATTTTCTTATGTTATGGTTGTCTTAGGGTACTCTAGGTGTTCGTGGTCCTTTGTGTTTCTGTTTCAGTGTGCTTGTAAGGGTCAACTATTTTGTACTGTTTTGTGATTTGAATGCAAAAAATTCTATAAAAAAAAAACCGCATGCATGGACCTTACCGTCCGCGTGTGCTTCAGGACAGGCCAAGTTGCAAAAAGGACACGTGAGAACGTTACCTCAAAAGATCGGCCACGTTCTAAAAGGGACACGTCGAGAGATCAAGCGCACGCCGACATCGGCACAAGATCTTCCGTCTGTCCATGCCGCCCGCGCAACTGAACTGTCCGCGAGATTTCCCCTGGTCCCCGGTTGAACAGCGCAATCACCAGCGATGGCACGTTTTGCGCGGCGTGGGTTCAGATACGCCAGGCATTTTTTCTCTCCAAAGAACCCAAAAAAGAGCGAGCGGTTTGGCCGTTTGGGGGACTGTTTTAAAATCTATTTTCAGTTTTTCTTTAGGGGCTATTTTGAGTTACATATGGCGATAAATCATGGCGCTGGGAAAACGAAAATGTCAGCGCATGTGGAACACTGAAAAAAAAAGGGCGCCCTAAGGGCGCTATAGCGCGATATGTAGCATGTTAATGGCATATTTTAAGGCCGATGCTAATTTTTTTTTGCCGTAGCGTGCTATTTTTTTTCCTTGGTGTGAAAAAGTACAATTCACTTGGTCAACAGAAGAGAACCGGTCCATCCACATACATATACCAAACTGGCATGGCACAACATGGTTCACAAGATAGCATGCGCCTTTTTACACTTTCATAACCGAAGTCGCATAAACCCGTCTAACACAATACAAAGTAACAAGACATGATAAACACGAACGAACAATGCCTCTTTACTGTACACCACAAGAGATGATTGCTTTGGTGGTACAAAATTGCTCTCCGCAGAGTCATATATCGCCTATTGGACCGCTAACCGCTGGAGATGGTCCATGAACACCTCGAAGCTCACATCATCCGTGAATATCACGTCTCCTCCGGGAGCAGGGTTGTCAGAGTTATATGCCACGGATGGATTTAGCTTTGCCAGTAAGAACCGAGCCTGCAGGTTCAGACGCAAATGACATTTAGCTCTTTCTTCAACGAGTAATTATAACAAAGCCAATGCCGAAACTAAGTACCATATTTTCATCAACAAATCACAAGTACAAAAGGAATTACCTGAGATCCATATTGATCACAAACAACCAAACGGGGCACAGGAAACCGCTCCTTGATTATGCTATCAGATTCCTCATGTGGAGCTTTCAACAACTGCGCAAACACCTGAACATAATGCAAAAGAAGATTAAACACTGGAAGGCACTCTACTTTGCAATCTAGATCAAGTCTTTCATGATCAATCAACTAGACTCGTGTGCATCTCAGTAAACCAACATTATTCTGCAGTATAGCTTGACAAACAATTACCTCGTGGCCTTCTTGATCTTGGTAGCCAGCATTTCGCCATTGTGCAATGGTTATCCCATGGAAAATAACCACAGAAAAATAAGAATCCAACAAAAGGATCTTGTCAGGAGCAATTGCAGTTGCATCCAAGAGAACAGGCATTGGCCCTGATTGAAATGAGTAGGATATAAGTGAAGGTTGAATCATTGCAACTGCATTGCCCACATTTTCCCTCTCCAACATCATCCTAAAGTATGCGGTTTCATCGGGGCTATTATTGAAAACCTGCATCAAGGTAAGCAATTCAGTATGTATAAACATGTAAATTTCCATCTTTGTAGCATTGTTTAATGAAGAAAGGCTCAACCTGTACAAACTGAGAACGCCTCAAATTAAACATAAACTGGGGGAATATTGATAGACGTGGAGACAAACTGAAAGATGAGGGTGTTTCCTTCTGATAGTCTCCAAATTTGGTACATAAACGTATCAAAGCACGGTCAAGCCATCTTATTGGATCAAAATCAGCCTGAAAACATCCAGATAAGATAGTGTTACATAAATATGGAACTATAACTTGAATTTATAATCGTTTAAGGCCTGAATTATTTCAGATAATCTATGTGACATCAACAGCCAAGTCACTGCCTACAGCTCAAGTGCTGAACAATACTGCTAAAAAAATTATCCATATCGGCAGAAGTAAGAAATGCATTCAATTTGTAAATTCTAAAAATGGAGTAATATTGTGAACTATTTAATTTAATTATGAAACACATGGATGTACCTCAGTTTCCATCTTAAATGAGACCAAGCGTGCCACAACTGCGGCTGCGGCTTCTTGATCAAACCCATCTATCAGCTCCTGAAACACAAAAAGAGTATATTAATAAACAAATAAGTATTTTTTTCAAAAGAATAACAGGCAAACACCAGAAAACCCGTCGGATTCGAAAGGAACCGGCATGAGCAACAATATGGCTGTTTTCTGAACATAGATTACTTGTTCATATCAGCAAAATCAATTATGCTCACTAGATGGAACGACACCTCTCCGCGCATGTCTTTTGCCTTCTCTTCTTTCTTTCTTTTAGCCTTTGCAGTTTTATTATAGGTAGCTAAGTTAATCTTTCCATTCAGTTTTGTTGTTGTGCTTTTGTACTTTTTATGGTTTTATTTGGTTTAGTCGTTGGCCACCGTTTGTGGATTGTGCTTTTGTGCCTTGTACAGAGTCTTCTAAAAGGAACAGAAAATATTTAAATGCGAAAAAAAGATTATGCTCACTAGAAGAAGTGTCATCAATAATTCATGATTAGCAAAGTGATCAAAGATAAGAGAAACTAGCCTGCACACTAGCAGAACCAGAAGCCCATTGTCTGGAGATCGTAGTAGTTCGCAATCTCATCTGGCCCTCATGATGCTGATAACTGAATGTGACACCCTCAAGTCAGCCAGGCAAGTACATCTAAAGCAGAATCAGATTGTTTGGAAAATTGAAAAGGAAAAAAAAATGTTCCTTACTAGGTTACAAATTGAAGGTAGAGCTGTTCGCCTGTCTGCTGAGCGACTGAATCTGGGCCAACTTTTCTTGAGATGTCATATACAAAGCAAAGCGATGTTTTCTTGTCAAGACCACACATCTTCCAGGCGCTAGTATTTCCCTGACCAATAACAGTATCTGCAGACAGAGGACTTTTCTGCATACAATAACTGCAACATTAGAACAGCAAAAAATTGCAGTCTTGTCATTGTATATACTTTACAGCTACAAAGTTAACAACATGGTTGTACCTTCTCCAGGGAAGAACAAGGCCCAATAATGCCTTGAATCTTTACATCTTTTGAGCAGTTAATCTCAAGAATACCACTGTTGAGGCAATTCAAAAATATTAGTGTAAAATTCAAATAAAGATGTCACCTTCACACAAACATTGGGTGTATTATATTGATTGATTGATAAATTTTAGATTCAAATATGGTATCTCCGGTACAAGGGTCGATCCGGGTGGCCTTGATATGCAGCAGAGCAGCTGAGCTACCTTGAAAGCTTCACTGGCACATGTACGACTTTATAGGATAGTATGGAAATTTTAAATGAGGAACCCTCACACTATGGTGAAAAAGAGGTAGGCAGCAGTTTGCCAACAAAATAAAAATAAGAGCAAGAGAAAATAATTGTTTACTTGAATGATAATCCAAGGCCGTTGTCTGCTGACTGAAAGATGCGGAGAAGCGAGTCTTTGAAAACAGAGTGACCAAAACTTTCAGCAAGCACAACAATTCCCCCAGTCTTCTCAATTGCAACCTTCATTTCAGCAACACCAACCTGAAAACTCAAGCATAAAGAAAATATTACTTCAGACAAAATGACCATGCATCTAAGTCACGCATCAAATAGTGGACACAAAGGTGAGTTTCCATGGCTTCATTAGGCAGTGTAGTAGCTTTTCAAAAGCATGTGTTTTCAACCAGTTTTGGATACAAGGGTTAGTTGAGAGCATTTTTATCCACAACATCTTACTAGAATAAGCAACTACTACTATAAATAACTAAATGCCACGTGCAGTACCGCACAACGACCGTGGACGTGCCCTTCATAACCGGCTGTCTATCAACTCTGTGGTCCTATTACACAGTCACTGGAAGCAACTAAGTGTTTCTTACATTTTATTATTTGCAAACATTGGATATAGTACCTGTGTTGAGGTCCCTCACTAGCATACAACTCACAAAAATACACAGCAATAGCAAAGCTATTGCTTTACATAAAATGGACCCATGTGGCTAGAAAAAGGTAGCTAATTTGCATTATGATGATACTGCCGTTGGTCAGGAATCTAGTTCATGTCCTAGAATTGTGCATATGGCTGATATCTGACGCACTAACATGGATATGTGATATTGATATGGACTTTCAGCACAAGCAACAGCTAAATAACTACAAATTCTACACACGTAAGCTAACGGTTCTAGCTACACACCTCTAATAGTAATAGCTGCAAAATCAAGGAGAAAAGGGTGAA